GGAGGCAGATGATGGCTGCAGCAATGAATGGAGGCAGACGAAGGCTGCAACAATGAATGGAAGCAGACAATGACTGCAGCAATGAATGGAGGCAGATGATGACTGCAGCAATGAATGGAGGCAGACAATGACTGCAGCAATGAATGGAGGCAGACAATGACTGCAGCAATGAATGGAGGCAGACAATGACTGCAGCAATGAATGGAGGCAGACGAAGGCTGCAACAATGAATGGAGGCAGACGATGGCTGCAGCAATGAATGGAGGCAGATGATGGCTGCAGCAATGAATGGAGGCAGACGAAGGCTGCAACAATGAATGGAGGCAGATGATGGCTGCAGCAATGAATGGAGGCAGATGATGGCTGCAGCAATGAATGGAGGCAGACGATGGCTGCAGCAATGAATGGAGGCGGACAATGACTGCAGCAATGAATGGAGGCAGACAATGACTGCAGCAATGAATGGAGGCAGACGATGGCTGCAGCAATGAATGGAGGCAGACGATGACTGCAGCAATGAATGGAGGCAGACAATGACTGCAGCAATGAATGGAGGCAGACGAAGGCTGCAACAATGAATGGAGGCAGATGATGGCTGCAGCAATGAATGGAGGCAGACGAAGGCTGCAACAATGAATGGAAGCAGACAATGACTGCAGCAATGAATGGAGGCAGACAATGACTGCAGCAATGAATGGAGGCAGATGATGACTGCAGCAATGAATGGAGGCAGACAATGACTGCAGCAATGAATGGAGGCAGACGAAGGCTGCAACAATGAATGGAGGCAGACGATGGCTGCAGCAATGAATGGAGGCAGATGATGGCTGCAGCAATGAATGGAGGCAGACGATGGCTGCAGCAATGAATGGAGGCGGACAATGACTGCAGCAATGAATGGAGGCAGACAATGACTGCAGCAATGAATGGAGGCAGACGATGGCTGCAGCAATGAATGGAGGCAGACGATGACTGCAGCAATGAATGGAGGCAGACAATGACTGCAGCAATGAATGGAGGCAGACAATGACTGCAGCAATGAATGGAGGCAGACAATGACTGCAGCAATGAATGGAGGCAGACAATGACTGCAGCAATGAATGGATGCAGACGATGGCTGCAGCAATGAATGGAGGCAGACGATGGCTGCAGCAATGAATGGAGGCAGATGATGGCTGCAGCAATGAATGGAGGCAGACAATGGCTGTGGCAATGAATGGAGGCAGACGATGGCTGTGGCAATGAATGGAGGCAGACAATGGCTGTGGCAATGAATGGAGGCAGACAATGGCTGTGGCAATGAATGGAGGCAGACGATGGCTGCAGCAATGAATGGAGGCAGACGAAGGCTGCAACAATGAATGGAAGCAGACGATGGCTGCAGCAATGAATGGAGGCAGACAATGACTGCAGCAATGAATGGAGGCAGACGAAGGCTGCAACAATGAATGGAGGCAGACAAATTTCAAGAGCTCGTAATGCTGAAGAAGATATGACACAGCCAGGTCCATCAAGCAGAACACAGAGAGGAGGAAATGTTCAGCGAGTAAGTGGCAGACAATGTCCACATCATTAACTGGGTGCTTGCTTATCTACAGACTTCTAGGACCAGCAACACACACCTACTGTGAGGATTCTGTTGTTGAAGACAATTATGTGTACTGTGTCAGCCATCAGCTGAAGCAACCAGTACTTTAACTTGATCACAACCACAGTTTTAAGATTTCAACATAAGAACTACAAGTGTGAGAAAATTCAGTAAAAACTATGAGAAATCAGCACAAACATTCACAAATATGACACAAGCTAACACAAACAGAACTGTCAATAGAAGACAAGCTAATATACAAGATACTTTCAGCTTCTACAACTGAGATTTAACAACCACCAATAAAAGCTTAGCTCAGAGATGATGATTTCGTACTTCAATGTGCAATGTAGGCAACCGTCAGCTTCTACAACTGAGACTATACAACCACCAATTAAAGCTTAGCTCACCGAGGATGATTTGATACTTCAATGTGCAATATCAGCAATCATCATCTTCTACAACTGAGACTATACAACCACCATGAGCTTAGCTCAGAGATGATGATTTGATACTTCAATGTGCAATGTTGACAACCGTCATCTTCAACAACTGAGATTATACAACCACCAATAGAAGCTTAGCTCAGAGATGATGATTTGATACTTCAATGTTCAATGTTGACAACCGTTAGGCCCTAGGGGACCATGCAGTTGTGCTTCTACCATAACTGTAAAGGCGTGTGTGGGAGCGGTAGTCTCTGCTACACAGTCCACATAAAAACGTTGATATGCTATCACTCTGAGGCTGGCTTTCTCTCAGATGTCTCCTCTCTAAAGATTGCTGCTGCACTAGGCCTCTTAAAAAGTTTAACAGTCCATCTTTTTAACAGTCCATCTTTCTTTCACTGTCTGCCTCCACAGAAGTTGGTCTGCAGCTTATCTCTCTCGGGTATCCCTGTCAGTGTTGATATCTTTCAGGTCATGTTTGCAAATGTCCATATAGCGCAGCTTTGGCTTTCCTGCAGATCTTTTCCCCGTTTCAACTTCAACCATACCAGGAGATCCTTTGGAATGAGACCCTCATCCATGTGGGGGACATGCCTCATCCAAGTGGGGGACATGCCTCATCCATGTGGGAGACATGCCTCATCCATGTGGGAGACATGCCTCATCCATGTGGGAGACATGCCTCATCCATGTGGGTGACATGCCTCATCCATGTGGGGGACATGCCTCATCCATGTGGAAGACATGCCTCATCCATGTGGGGACATGCCTCATCCATGTGGGGGACATGCCTCATCCATGTGGGGGACATGCCTCATCCATGTGGGGGACATGCCTCATCCATGTGGGAGACATGCCTCATCCATGTGGGGGACATGCCTCATCCATGTGGGAGACATGCCTCATCCATGTGGGGGACATGCCTCATCCATGTGGGGGACATGCCTCATCCATGTGGGAGACATGCCTCATCCATGTGGGAGACATGCCTCATCCATGTGGGAGACATGCCTCATCCATGTGGGGGACATGCCTCATCCATGTGGGAGACAGGCCTCATCCATGTGGGAGACATGCCTCATCCATGTGGGGGACATGCCTCATCCATGTGGGGGACAGGCTTCATCCATGTGGGGGACATGCCTCGACCAGCACAGGCATCTTTGCTTCATTGGAGAGTACACTAGCGGAAACTCCTGCACTTCTGAGTACACAGAGTCAGGAGATTTGGTTCTAAGGCATTTGGTACCAATGATAAGAATTTGCTATAACAGCACAAAATAAACATCTTGAAATCTGTCATGTTCTTCACATGTGTGCTTGCTACCAAGCTCATATGAAACAATGTCACATTTCACATGTGTGTCAAAATGTATATTTAGTGTAAATAAAATGGATTTTAAAAAATGTAAAAAAAAACAAAGCAGAAATGAATTAAAACTAGAAAATGACACCACAAGCAGCCAGCACCATCAAACACAGAATACAATAAAATTGTCTGTGACTTCTTACACACTTGCAGGGGTGTGACACATTCACTGTCATCTGTCTTGTCATCTTATCTTAGACCAACAACTGTCATGTGTCACTGTCTCATGTATAGGGCATCCAGTATTAATCCTTTACTCCAAAGTAATCCTTTAGTCACAGGTTACCCTCCAGTCTCAATTAATCCTTGTATATTCTCATAAATGACCTTTTCCTCATGTTGATATATTACTAACCGTGATGGTGGGATAAAATAATCTTTTGTTAGTCTCAATAATCTTTTATTCTTATACATAAACTGTTAAAGTAATCTAAAGATTAGTTAAATGATACTATCTTGAAGTTTAACTCTTTGAGTCCCAGGGGGTTTAGCATCACATGCCCAAGGGGTAGTAAAGAAAGTAATAAAATCGGCGCATCATGCATTCATAGGGCTTCTAGGTAGGAACCTATGAACGTATGATGCGTTCCTCAAAGAGTTAAGTAACCATTTAGACATTTCTTTGTGGGTTTTGAGGTCCCATGGGGGGAGGGGGGGGGGAGAGAAGAGCCCTACAACCTCCAAGCAAGCATGATGTAAAAAGGTGATTAATTAAGGGTTAGCTGAAATCAGATGTGTTTGACAAAATGGGGCAGATATCGCGTCCCAATGTGCCAACTTTCCTCAGGGCCTGAAAAACAATATGCATCATGTGACTTAGGTCGTGACGCCATTATCTATATCACTGGGGCTTATGGGAGAATCTGACACCAACTTGGCTTTAAAAATGCCATTTTCAGTTACTATATTCCTAACATGGCCCATCAAACACTGTGCAGGCACAAACATAACAAGTAGAAGAATGGAACTGAACTATGCTTTTTGAGAACAGGTCAGTGCAGATGTGCCAATATAGGACTGTATCATAACCCACAACTCACAGGACTGTATCACAACAAAAAATTACTAGATTTAGTCTTTTCGGGCGGGGGGAGGGGGGGGGGGGTTAAGGACAAACATGATCTACCAGTCATGTGATATCAGTCACGTTGGTCTTTGCTAACTCTTCACGGGTCAGTTTTGTTCCTAAGTCAAAATGAGAAAATGTGATATCAGTCATGTTGGTCTTTGCTGACTCTTCATGGGTCAGTTTTGTTCCTAAGTCAAAATGAGAAATGCAGTATAACTTCAGATGCCTACAAGTGCCTTAGCTCCCACAAGAATATTTATTTAAAAAAATATAAAAAACATAAATATTTTTTTTAAAGTAAGTAACATGTAGTTACAGAGCTGCTGACTGAGGTAAAAGTGCCACCACCACCACACACAACAACAAGAAGAGAAACCAACGGACATAGACAGGAGATTGGAACCTTGGTCTACAGGATCCTGACTGCAAGCTATGTGTACCTGCCACCCTGGGACATGCAGTCGTCTCCATGACAACCCTCAAGCATTAAGATAAAAATGACAGCGAGGCCATCAAGTAGCTACCTCACACCAGAGAGCTGGAGTCACTGAACCTGTCTGCCACCTGTAACACAAGTCAGAGATCATCAACTATAGGCCATCTCATAGTCTACAGCTTTTCACATCTACTAGGTGTTGAGTTTCTCAGGCAGGTGACCAGCTTTTTTATTTCTCAAGTGACAAATGAATAGATGAATGAATATATGAATAAATGAAAATAAATGAATAAATGTTAGTTGACTAACACCACTGTCTGACAGTTAACTAACATCACTGTCTGACAGTTGACCAACACCACTGTCTGACAGTTGACCATCACCACTGTCTGACAGTTGAATAACATCACTGTCTGACAGTTGACCATCACCACTGTCTGACAGTTGACTAACACCACTGTCTGACAGTTGACTAACACCACTGTCTGACAGTTGACCATCAATACTGTCTGACAGTTGACTAACATCACTGTCTGACAGTTGACTAACACCACTGTCTGACAGTTGACCAACACCACTGTCTGACAGCTGACTAACATCACTGTCTGACAGTTGACTAACATCACTGTCTGACAGTTGACTAACACCACTGTCTGACAGTTGACCAACACCACTGTCTGACAGTTGACCAACACCACTGTCTGACAGTTGACCATCAATACTGTCTGACAGTTGACTAACACCACTGTCTGACAGTTGACTAACACCACTGTCTGACAGTTGACTAACACCACTGTCTGACAGTTGACTAACATCAGTGTCTGACAGTTGACTAACACCACAGTCTGACAGTTGACTAACACCACTGTCTGACAGTTGACCAACACCATTGTCTGACAGTTGACCAACACTACTGTCTGACAGTTGACTAACACCACTGTCTGACAGTTGACTAACACCACTGTCTGACAGTTGACTAACACCACTGTCTGACAGTTGACCTACATTACTGTTCAACTTCTCACCTGTACATATTTTCATATGCAGACCTGAAACCACCTTATGTACCTTTCAAATGATGGTCAGCCATGGCCAGTATCTGAAGCATGATGCACACAGCAACTGATGACCACCATGTCCAGCTATCCAGTCCAGTTGTTTGTTTGTTAGAATTTTTCAGCTTGTGAAACACAGCCCTGGTCATTTCCCAGGCAAGTGGTCGAGCTGTTAGCCACATTTGTCAGACTACACCAGCTTGTTCCCATTTCTGTCTAGCTTCACAGGGATTACTGCTGAAGTTGTTTGTGTTTTGTGTGACATTTCTGTCTAGCTTCACGGGGATCACTGCTGAAGTTACTGTTTGTGTTTTGTGTGACATTTCTGTCTAGCTTCACGGGGATCACTGCTGAAGTTACTGAGTTTGTGTTTTGTGTGACATTTCTGTCTAGCTTCATGGAGATCACTGCTGGAGTTACTCAGTTTGTGTTTTGTGAGAAATTTCTGTCTAGCTTCACGGGGATCACTGCTGAAGTTACTGAGTTTTTGTTTTGTGTGACATTTCTGTCTAGCTTCACAGGGATCACTGCTGAAGTTACTGTTTGTGTTTTGTGTGACATTTCTGTCTAGCTTCACGGGGATCACTGCTGAAGTTACTGAGTTTTTGTTTTGTGTGACATTTCCAGCAGGCAGCACAACACTGTGTAGAGAGACAATCAGCCATGTGGGATAAAATCCAGAAATCATCTCTGCAGCAACATTCTAAGAGACCAAATATACAATATAACTAGACATTCATAAAATGTCAGTATATCTATTGCTTTTATTGTTACGAACATTTCATATTCCATTGCACATTGCTGTTCCATTAGCATTGAGAACTAGACATTTGTTTGATCTGCTGTGTATTCAACTCAGTTTAAATACCTGAGTACAGTTTTAAACTGAAATAAATAAATAATTCACCAACTGATTATTAGTAGTTTGTAAATGAATAGTTATGTTGAAATTTTGCTGAGGATTATTGGTAGTTTGTAAATGAATAGTTATGTTGAAATTTTGCTGAGGATTATTGGTAGTTTGTAAATGAATAGTTATGTTGAAATTTTGCTGAAGAGGAAAAGGAGTGAAATAAATGACTGCATAGGGGCATCATACATCCTAAAAATGATCATTATCATCCCAACTGACGCCTTCAATTCTAATTCTATTCCTGAAGTCTGCATTCAGAAAACTTTCAAACTGTCTAATGGTTAACATTTAGAAAATGAAATCAGCAACTCTAGTTGTGATTAACAACAGCAACAACAACATGTGCACTTACAGATTTGATGCCAGGCAGGTTGAGAATTGTCCCTAAGACAGGCACTCGTCTCATGAAGTTGACAGCAACGGGGAAGAAACCGCTGTCAGGACGATCAAACACAGACATAAATATGTTATCTGCCTGGTGAGGCAGACTCCACTACTAGCCTCTCCACAACATACCTACATTAGCCCATATAGCTCCAGTTACATTCATCAGAGCTTTCCCACATAAAATTAGAAACTTCCACAATTCCACTAACATCTGCCACAACTCACCCACATAACATAAGGAACCCCAACAATTATACTAACATCTGCCCCAACTCACCAACATAATATTACCAACTCCAACAATTATACTAACATCTGCCCCAACTCACCAACATAATATGAGCAACTCCAACAATTCTACTATCATCTGCCACAACTCACCAACATAATATGAGCAACTCCAACAATTCTACTAACATCTGCCACAACTCACCCACATAACATGAGCAACTCCAACAATTCTACTAAGATCTGCCACCACTCACCATAACATGAGCAACTCAAACAATTCTACTAAGATCTGCCACCACTCATCAACATAACATGAGCAACTCCAACAATTCTACTAAGATCTGCCACCACTCACCAACATAACATGAGCAACTCCATCAATTCTACTAACATCTGCCACCACTCACCAACATAACATGAGCAACTCCAACAATTCTACTAACATCTGCCACCACTCACCAACATAACATGAGCAACTCCAACAATTTTACTAACATCTGCCACCACTCACCTAAACAACAAGATGAACCCATACAGCTCCACCAACATGCCCACCACTGGCCAGCCAATCAAGACAATGAGCATGCCTCCAACAAAGAACCCTGTGGCCTTCAACTTATGCCGCTGGAAGAAGAATCGATAGGTTCTCTCCAGACCAATGACGAATGCCAGCCCACTGACAAAGAGTATCTGAAACGAAAGACAACATATAGTATACAAATCTACAGAGTCACTGTCTGCCATCTGCTACTCTAAAACAATACTGTTAAATCTAGTATACCCTCTCTCTCTTTCTCACACACATAGACATACATCCATGCGTCGCACACATGCAGGCACACACACACATGCACGCACACACACTATCATTGTACAACCAATGAAGATGTCTTGGTGGGACTCAACATATACTTCAGAAAGAATAATAGTAGAACGTGTTGCCGCTTAATCACTGACTGTATTATCTCTATACATGTAAGCAATTCTGACATGGGCAGTGCAAATGATACAAACAGGTAAACAACATTCCTATTGATATTATCAAGCAGGCATAAATATGCACTACTACACAATGTAGTCATTAGAGAAACAGTTGTAGTAGGAGCAGCAACAGCAGTAATAAGTATTGTTGTGAAATAACACTGCCAACTGTCTAGACAACATCAGTCTGACACAAACTCACATTGCCAATTGCTAGAAGCCCTTTATCAAACAACAGCACCATGCCAAGGAACAGGAACACTATCCCAAATCCTGCCAGACCAATGCCAATTTCTGAAAACATAAACATAGTCTATGTTACAATTACCACAATGTAACCAAACAAAACATAACATACAAAGTATTACTACTGTGATGTTGAAACTGTCTATGTTACAATTACCACAATGTAACCAAACAAAACATACACACACATACAAAGTATTACTACTGTGATGTTGAGACTGTCTATGTTACAATTACCACAATGTAACCAAACAAAACATAACATACACACACATACAAAGTATTACTACTGTGATGTTGAAACTGTCTATGTTACAATTACCACAATGTAACCAAACATAACATACACACACATACAAAGTATTACTACTGTGATGTTGAAACTGTCTATGTTACAATTACCACAATGTAACCAAACAAAACATACACACACACACACAAAGTATTACTACTGTGATGTTGAAACTGTCTATGTTACAATTACCACAATGTAACCAAACAAAACATAACACACACACAAAGTATTACTACTGTGATGTTGAAACTGTCTATGTTACAATTACCACAATGTAACCAAACAAAACATACACACACACACAAAGTATTACTACTGTGATGTTGAAACTGTCTATGTTACAATTACCACAATGTAACCAAACAAAACATACACACACATACAAAGTATTACTACTGTGATGTTGAAACTGTCTATGTTACAATTACCACAATGTAACCAAACAAAACATACACACACATACAAAGTATTACTACTGTGATGTTGAAACTGTCTATGTTACAATTACCACAATGTAACCAAACAAA